ATGCGGGCAAACAGAGAGCGCAGCGTGCTAACGGTTTCTTCAGCAGTGGTGATCTCCATCACGAAAATCTCCGGCCACTTGCTGTGGGCATCGATCACTACCATGAGCATCTTTCCCTCGACTGGTCCGGCAAAGTCAATGTGCAGTCTTTGCCAGGGAAGGGAAGGGTACTCCCATCGATGCAGGGGTGCACGGGCTGGATTATTTGCCAACTCCTGACATCCTTCACAGTTTCGGACGGCCCCTTCTATGTCCTTGTCAATGTTTGGCCACCAAACAAAACCCCGGGACAAACCCTTCATCTTGACCATACCAATGTGACCCTTGTGGAGCGTTTCCAAAACTCTCTCTCTCAGTTTGGCTGGGACGACTACTCTACTACCCCACATTAGAACTCCATGATGAATCATGATTTCGTTACCGCGATGGGCATAGGGAATGAGCTCTGGGTGAAGTTCGGCTCCTTGCCATCCTGACTGCACAAGCTCCAGAACACGGGAAAGTACTGGATCCCTACGGGTCTGCATTCTTAAGTTGTGTTCTGTAACGGGGAGGGCCTCGACAACGGTGGTATGGAATATTTCAACTTCATCGGGCTTGTCAGCGGGTGCTGATGGTTGGGGTAGGCAAGATAAACAATCACAATTGGCATGTTGCTGGGTACCTCGGAACTCGATATTGTATGAAAAAGCTCCTAGGAAGAGACACCAACTTTGAATCCTTGCTGCTGCCGTGACTGGCACAGCCTTCCCAGGGTCCATTATGTACTTCAAAGGCTGATGGTCGGTGACTAAGGTGAAGTGGCGACCCTCCAGGCACATTTGGAACTTCTTCACACCCCAGACCAAAGATAATGCTTCTTTCTCGATTTGTGAGAATTTCTTCTCTGTTTCGGAGAGGGACCGGGATGCATAAGCGATAGGACGCTCTACTCCCTCAGCGGTACGGTGTGACAAGACCGCTCCCAGACCATACGAGGAGCTGTCTGTGGCAAGAACTAGTGGTGAGTCAGGGTCATAGCGCATCAGGACCCTATCCTGTAGCAATATTTCTTTCACCACAAGAAAACTAGCTTGTTCCACAGCTCCCCACAACCACTTCACATCTTTCTGTAACAGCCGATGAAGTAGAGCAAGATGAGTGGCCAGATCGGGCAAGAATTTGGCGTAATACTGGACCATGCCAAGAAAAGCACGCAGTTGAGTAACATCCTGAGGTTTCGGTATCTCAGTGATAGCCTTTACTTTCTTTGGGGATTGATGCAGTCCTTCTGCAGAGATAACATGTCCTAGGTACTCCACAAAGCTTCTAAGGAATTTACACTTTTCTCGGTTGGCTTTCAAACCTTACTCTTCCAGCCTCTTCAATACTGCGACTAACCGCTCAAGGTGTTCCTCTATGGTATGGCCGGTTATAATGCTATCATCCAGGTAACAGAAGACCCCTGGTAGTCCTTGCAGGATCTGATCCATGGTTCGCTGCCAGATGGCTGGCGCCGAAGCTACACCATAAGGAAGGCGCTGGTACTGGAACAAACCACGGATTGTGTTAATGGTGAGGAAAGGCCTGAATTGCTCCTCAACCTCCATTTGTAAGCCTGACGCAAGTCAATGACACTGAACAACGTTCCCCCACCTAGGCTGGCGTAAATATCATCAATGCGGGGAAGTGGGTACTCGTCTACCACCAGCTGTGAATTGATGGTCACTTTAAAGTCACCACACACTCTTACACCGCCATCCTTCTTCACAGGTGTCACAATTGGAGCAGCCCACTCACTATTAGCTACCTTCTTTATAACTCCTTCAGCTTCCAGCTCTCTCAATGCTTCGTCCACTGCTGGTTTACGAGCCAGCGCTACTGGGCGAGCTTTCCAGAATCGAGGCCGGGCATCCTCTTTAACCTGGATCCGTGCTTGGATATTCTTCATCTTGCCCAAACCTTTAGAGAAAACATCTCCATGCTTACTCAGGACATCTTCCAGGGCTGGAATGGTGTCGGATGTTTCCAGACGACGTAAGGGCCAGTCCAGATGGGTAGATTCCAGCCATTCTCAGCCAAAAAGGGTGGGTCCCTCGTTCTTCACTACATATATGGGAAGTTCCTTTGATTGTCCCTGATACTGCGCAGTCACATAGCAAAACCCCATAGGCTTCACTGACTCTCCTGTGTATGTGCGCAACTTCAAGGAGGTGTCCTTTAAAGGAATGTGACGGAGGTAATCCAAATACACCCTCTCACTCATGACTGACACCACTGAACCTGTATCCAGCTCCATGGTCACTGGGCGGCCTTCAAGGTAGATCTTAAGTGAAATGGGCTTTTTGTTTTTAATGTCTGAGACATGGTACAGGTT